GGGGGGGTACATGGAGGGGGGGAGTGAGAGGGGAGATGTTGAAGCCCTCATCAGTGGCGCTGCGACATTTATTCTCAATCTGCTACAGGAGACATATACAGCATATAAAGTAATATACGTTGTTCTACCAGCCCAATGCAAGATAAACATAGGATCCAGACAAATATCACTGCGTTTATACTGAATTTACACAGCTAGCTCCTCGCAACACTATGGGATGTGGAAGAAAAGGTGTCGTTATGCCTGAGCAAAAGGAATAAAAATAGTCAAACTTTCCCCTAAGGCACAGCCAGGTCCTCTCTCAGGGGCACATAGCACTGACATCACTGCTCCTGAGACAGCGCTGTCACCTGCGTGTTAAAACCAGTCAGCTGACTGCGTGTGAGCCAGTCAGGGGTTCCCCATCCTCGTTCAGAGGACCCCAACACCTGTTTTTGACCAAAGTCAAGATGGAACAAAACCCACAGACAAACCAGTCCAACAGGACCAGAACTGGACCCCCTGCAGACACACGCTGACCCTACAGAACCAGACTGGACCCCCTGCAGACACACACCGACCCTGCAGGACCAGGACTGGACCCCCTGCAGACACACACTGACCCTACAGAACCAGACTGGACCCCCTGCAGACACACACTGACCCTACAGAACCAGACCGGACCCCCTGCAGACACACACCGACCCTGCAGGACCAGGACTGGACACACCCGCCCTTAATCCTACTCTGGGCTCAGAGCTCACCAGATCCTCCTGGATGTGTCCACAGGACTGACAGAACTGATCAGGGTCACTGACAGGGAAGTGGAAGCATGCACTGCAACTCCTATCAGGGGCAAACTTGGCAACACCGGGCCTAAAAGAAGACTGCCGCTGCCTCACCCAGACCCCTACGCACTGCTGAACCGTGAGACAGAGCACCAGGGGTGCTGAAGGGCACACTTCCCCTTTCTACCATGTTCAACACCCCGTGTTCATGTCTCGAAACACGGCACCCTGTGACCAGTTCTGCTTCCAGCTCTCTGGGGTGGGGGGAGTGGTCAGCCCTCTCCTCTTTGACCCCGGCAGCCAGGAGCAGGCCTGACTGCAGGAACTGACCTGCAGCTTGTCCATCTCTGCTCAGCCACGGTCATGTAGCCGGGAGGGGACCACTGGCCACAGTGAACATGGACCGGACCGGACTGGACTGGACCAGACCGGAGTGGGATGGATGAGGTGTGGGGGGGGATCTCCACGCAGGCTCCGTGGAATGCGCCACGCTCGGAATGCCAAGAATTCGCGTGGGGAGGGAGGCGAGATGAGCCGGGCCGATGTGGACGGGGCCGGAGCCGGACCCGTCCCGGCCTCAGGGGGAACCGAAGTTCCCTGTAGTGCCACGGGACCGGGGCGCCGGCGAGACGGCAGTTCAGGCCGTGGAGCACCACGCAGTGCCCGGATCGCAAGTGAAAATCAAGGCATGTCACCGGCGCAGCGCTGCAGAGCGCAGAAAGCGCCGCTTCTGACCCGGAGCAGCGCTCTGTAACACACTTGCGCAACCCCTCGAGTCGGGATCTTCAAGTCCCCCAGCCTGAGCTCCGCAGCGCCACGGAAGCTCCCATAACAACAACAACAACAACAACGCGACATCGTATTTTAACATAATTTCTTGTAACTCGGCAATCAATCCGATTTTGCTGCCTTTGAATGCGAGTTTAAGAATGGAAAGTCCACCATACACACTGTACAGACCCCGGTCCTGTTTAACCTGCTGCCCCCCCATGATCACTGCAACGGGACCGCCTGGTGTCGTGGACCTGTCCGTAACGGAGCGGTTCGTCCAGGTCGGTTCGGTTCGGTCCCGTCCCGCCCAGCCCAGCCCAGCCCGCCACTCTGTCTCACTCCGTGCGCCGCAAGAGCGCACAGCTCAGCCCGGGGGGAAGCCGATAAGACACCGGCCGCTAGCCGGCTAGTCCCGGGACGGACCAACCCCCGCCGGTCCCGCACCGGGACCGCCAGTTCGGACGGGGGCTAACTCACCGAAACGCAGCCAGTCCGATCTGTCGAGGCTGTCCATAACCTTGCAGAACTCGGTCGTGATGTGCGCAGGCAGGCGGTACAGGTACTGCCCCTCGATACTCCCGGCGGACATTTTCGTCTGCTTCGGCTCCGGGCGGTTTCCGGGAGAAGTGGCCAGCGCCTTCCTCGGACTTACAACGGTCCCGTCCAAAACCATCGCTCCGCTGGCGGAGGCGGCGACTCCATCTGCGAGGTTCCACGCTACTGACTCACTTCCCCTTTAAGACTCAGAAGGACTTTTTTTTCTTTCGAAGGGGTTGGTTGGGCTCCGAGGAGGCGGGGAGGACTCCGGAAACGCGCTTCGGAAACCATGGAAACCTGGTCCTGGCCGGAAACGCCATCTTGAGTGTGGCGCACCGGGCACAGGGATACGCGACATCTCAAGGCGCTGCGTTCCCGTCTCGGTCGGTCCTCTCGCAGCTCAATCCCAACCATGACATGTTTACAAACGTACCGCTCTCTCACCCTCAAAAAAATAAAATATATATAGAGAGAGAATCATAGCGGAGAGATTACTAATAATAATGCTGATTTTGAGGCGTGTTCCAGTGGGAAGACATTCGACGTAACACAGTGCTCTCAGGCCCACTGGAATCGTGTTGTGGATTGAAACTGGTGTCGTAAAATACGGAGAACTGCCGCAGACAGATGGGCACCCTGTGCTGTGAAATATCAGTGTTCATTTCAAATATCCGCTTCAGCCTCCACATAGTGTCTGGGTGTGTTGTAACTGTCACCAGCGACCATTTTTGTCACAGGTAATAGTCCTAGTACAACACTGAGTTAAAATGCCGGTTAAGACTCCAAACTGGGCATGAGATGTATTTCTGCAGGAAGAAACACCAAATTTCCAATTGATCCATCACAAGCTACCTGTTATTATAAAGTGACTCCCATTTCCGAATAACATATATGTCCATTTATTCGCTCTTCTGAGGTGGGGTGGCTTGAACTAGAAATAGCATTTATGTTTTTATTTATACTCATATTTATGAATATGCTGTAATGCTCCAAAGATTTTATTGTCATTGGAAAAACCACACCTAAAGATAACAACAGTGATATAGCCAGCAGCCATATCACCCTGCAACTCACAACTGGCAACCCACTG